TAAAGGAAATTACGTTGGATCTTTTCTTTCCTCTTTTACTACCGAAACTATTTGCTGGACGGAGGCACGGCGAGATACACGGTGATTGTTGGGCTGTTTCTAGCTTGACGATACGAAAATTGCGCGGTAACACGAGCGTTTATTTTTCTTTCGGGCATGCTGAGTAAGCAACAGTCACTCATCTATTTATAACGCCACTGCGCTAACCACCATCCGTCGAGTCTATTATCGCGTGTAAATATAGAGCGCATAAAGAATGCCGGCACACGTACAGCATGGTGCACGGAACGTGCTCGAAGAGATTGAAAGAGAAAAAATAGGCCTCCGGCTGATCATCGATCCACCTTGTCGGCGTTATCAGTCGCGCGCGCACATACACACACACACACGCGCGCAACACACACATGAACGGCGGAATTACATAATCTTCTGTGACGACGAAATTCGTTCGATTAACATAGCTTTGTGTCGCCTGTAATCATATATACCCCCGTCATATTATTTTCCATCCCTTTGAACCCACGCTGTCGCTTGGTTTTAACGCGACGAGTGCAGGGTAACCGTCGCGCGCGCATCTTTATACCATATTCACACACATACACACATAAATACACGCGAGACAGGATTATTTATGGTCTGCTAGGTATCCATGGCGGATTTGTCGATCTCTCGGCACGCGGATTCTATCTTGCGGCGGACGGTGAGGCGAATATTAACATCATCGCGCGTGATCGTATTTTCTGATAATTATTCTCGTGTCTTCTGAATTCACCACTGCGCATGAAACGTGTAACGCAGATATATACTCATCGAGGATATAAATTCTCAATTACGTCGTACTATACACGCGTGTTGCGCGTCAAGTGACGAGCTTACGATGCCTTTGAGAGCTCAACTTTGCCTCAACTCTCCGAGATCCTCCGCGACTGATATACAATAAATTATACAGCGTGTTGCCGTACACGCGTTATGTTTTAAAATGGAGCGACCGCCTTCTTTTTCTTCTTTGTTTTTTACTGCCATTAGGCGGCCGGTGTATGCATAATTCGGCTGTAATTACCGATGCAGATTTATACGAGACGTTATGCAACGCGCGAAACGCGCCTGTCATCTGGTGCAAGTGGGAGAGGGAGAGAAGTCGTCGAACTTGTCGCGTGTAGTCGTCGATGTCGGTGTTTCGCAAGCTCTCTTGAAATAGCGGAACGACCGTGCGAGATGAATGGCCGCAACGTGATCGCTCTTAACGGATCGCGGGCTTCGTAAATTGCGCCAACAACGAGGTCATTCAGCATACAAAAAAACCTGCCTCCAGATTAACGATGATCCCCCGCCGACGAATCGTGTCTCTCGCATATTAATCGGCCGTTCGCCGACGTGGCCGTAATGTCGTGCAATCGTGACCAACCGCGTGATAAAAAAAGGGGAAACAAATCGATCGGTTGGGAGTGTTCCTCAAAGACAGATAGGAAGCAAAATTCACGATGTGCAAAGGAGAATATTAAAAAATCGACCATTTTTGGCCCACTTAACCAATCATTGGAAACTGTTTCTGAGATTTTCTAGATGCAAAAGATAATTATTTGTTCACCAAATCCAGTTTGTCTACTAATAGTCATATGGAATGTTTTTCAAGTTTTGTAACCTCGATATATCTTTAAAATAACGAATATGTATGTTTAATATGTTATTGTATTGTATGGAAAGTGTCGAAATTATGATCCTACTTTCAACTTTACTATTCCATCTAACACCTATTTTGACACTAAAGAAAGTGAAAAGAGAAATTTTGGATATCATCAGAGTTAAAGTAGAAGTAAATTGTATCACTAAAATTAAATTTACTTTGTTAACTTAGCTCTTATTGCGTTGTAGAATTCAAGGTTTAACGTAGGATCAAAATTTCAACTCGGGTATGCTCGCCAAGAAGATATTCAACAGAATTTCGTGAAACCCAGCGAAAGAGACAAGATACATATACTGATAACCTCTCTGACGATGTCACCCTGATTCCGCCCTCCTTTTCTTTGATCTCTCAAAGTACCTGAAGCAAAGTGTTCGTTAGATAAGGACTAAGGAATATAAATAGGGTTTTCCTTTCGAATCTTCCTCTGCATACACAACACATAAACATTGCGTAAACCGAAAGAACAAACTTCTGCACATCTACTACTCACCTCTCGAGACATAAATGTTTCCACACCGAGAGAAACATGCTTGAAAATTTCTTTATGAAATATAAAAGTTCATTTTTGTGAAGTAAGGTTTACTTCTGTGAACAAACCTTATACCCCACGAACAAACCTTCAAGTATGTTTTCTTCAGTGCACAGAAAAAGAGAAGAATTCAACGTCGCGGGGAAAAAAAGCTGCGAATAAAATTCACAGCCTTCTCAGCCGACAACCTTCGTCGGAGGTCGCGAGAAATTTCGCGAGGACTTCACATCCTGAGAAGCGGCTTTGTCTTCGTGGTTCGATCGTGTGCAACTTGCTTTACCGCAATGCAGAGCGTGCATCGCGATTTCGTGTGCGCCTTCTCGTAACCTAAGTGTGTGTACAATATAAATATAGCTTGCAAGCGCGTCTTTTGCGCATCCACAACGATGGCGGCGCGTGTGTACGATATACAGTCGCGCTTAGCGCAATATGTTTCGCGCGCGAAACCATTAGCGCGCGAGATGTGTTAGGGAAAATCGAGCGTCGTTTGACACGCCATTATTTCTCACGGGACACGTCGTTCCGCAGCGATGTGCGCGGCGAAAAATGACCTGACATTGAAACGACCGCGTGTCCCACTTATTGAGCGTATAATGTTCGAGGGAACAGCGCTGGGTCTCCCTTGGGTTATTTGCCGCGGTGTATTTCAATTTGTGCAACCGGTAATTGAAAATTTTAGGCATGCTCGACCCCGCTCATTACTCTCGCCTTGAACCCTAGTGAAAGTTGAACCTTGTCTGAAAGTTGAACCGGTCTGTAACCATGAAATAGTAAATTGTACCTAACATCACTATTAATCAGTAATGTAACGCTCACTTCTCTTAATGACTAGGCAAGTGAGTCGGCTGATGATTAAATATACGAAATTATAGTTACGAGATGGAAAATCATAAGCAATTACTAATCAGTAATATAACGTTTAATTCTCTTTTTCTAAGATTTTTATGAAATTAATGTAGACTCAATTTTTATTTGCTACCTGATTTCTTAAAATGCTAATAGTAAAATACAGTAGCCGGCCAGACAACGGCTAGATCACAATTCTATATTTATAATTAGGCAAGACGAGTTAGAAACGAACTAGAAAATTGTATCCAGCTTGTTCTGACTAGCCTACTGGTTTAACCAGCTGGTTACATCTTTACTCGAGAGGCTGTGAAGTTGTCAGTCGGTCACTCGATCTCGCGAGGGATTTCTTGACAATTAGATTCATCGAAGGAATATTTTATCAGCGAGGAGGAAGATCTTAATTTCCACGTGTTCCCCGCAATTTCGTAATCAACTACGCTTATTCACGCGCGCGCTCACGCGTGTAATTTTTCTTCTCTTTTTTTCTTTTTTTACGATCACGAGATATAGAGACTCGCAAGTGGCCTAGTTTCTTCCACTATTATTCTAGTCGCACATAAAAAGATACGATCGCTCCGACGCGGTGGTCGACATGGCCTTCCACGTATAAATCATACACGGCGCGGCAATTACACGCGCTGGACGTTTTTGTCGGAAGTGAGAATCGAATGCGGGGGCGAACGTTTCGACAGTGATCGCCGAAAATCTGAATAAAACAGTCGCGCGTACGCCGTTACTGAATCGCCAAAACCCCATTTTTTATGGAATACGTTAATATTCGGTGAACGGATTAACCGGTCGCGCTGTATTGGCAACGCTCCACCACGGGTAATAACGATTTTTTTTTCTTTCTTTTCTGTAGAACGCGCTAACGCTTTGCTCTATCGAGCACGACGGAATGCTCGGACGCTCGTAAAAGTCTCGAAAGAGCCGGCCCCAACCTTTACTCGTCGATGAAAATATTTTTCACGCCACGTAAGTCGTTGCATCTGCAGTGGCGTGGGTGCTCGAGCCTGAATATCGGAGAATCGCGTCGGAGAATCTCCTGCGACTTTCCGTGGACAACTTCGATCGTGAAGCTCGACGAACCTGGATATAGATTTAGGGCGATATTCACAGGTCTTAGGTCCGAAATTGTTTGAATTTCATCTTAAGACGTTATACAGGCAGTAAAACGGCCCCTTTACGACGTCTTAGAAACATCTTGAATATAAGACTGAACTATAAGCAGCGCGCTCTCAAAGAGTAAAAGCGCTCCCTTTAAAAATGACTCGTCCCTCTGTTGCTGTTAAGTTAAAGAAATAAAACAACAGGAGGGAAACTCGTCTCGACGTGTCTGCGAAATCTCCTCTCATCGAGAACGGAAATGAACACTCGGTCGACTTCGAGCGCTGCACACACACCCTTGCTCAGACGCCACTGCGCGGGCGGGCTTGCAGGGGGCAATATAAAGACGGGCCGATGTAAACCGCAAGCTCCATTTGTTGGCCGCGAGTTCGCAGCCGCGGCGTGCGCCGGTTCAGCCGCGGAGAGGAGCACCTTGTTCGTTGTATTTTCGTTGGCACGGAACAGCACCGCGACGGTACACCACACGACGGCCACGCGAGGCTTGGAAAGGTCAGCGTCTACGTACACGTCGCTACGTATACCGCAAATCGTATTGAACACTCGCGCAAATTACCCCGATATATACATACATACTTACGCATGCATACACCTTTTCATCGGCGCGAATCTCATCGGCCACGCGAACTTGATCGGGACGTGTCCTAGACTTGTCAGAGTACGCGGAATCGATGTCTTTCTGCAGGCACAAGTTGAATCCGCGCGACTTTACGCTCACCTGCGCCGATCTCATTTTCGCGACGGCCTGTTTTCCTTCTCAGACTGTGCATCGTCTGCGCATTAATCTGACTTGCATTTGCGTTACTGTTGCAGACGTGACTTGGGAATGAGTTGGCGAATCGCGCGTAATCGGAAGGCGACATCGCCGGCGATGCGAATGAGGTGCACGGCCGAATAATGCGTCACGAAGCGATCTTGCGGAATCATCGTTACGACATCGCCCGAGGGGAAGGATGCAGCACGGCAAAGCTGGATAGAAGACGCCGAACGTTCGACAAGGTGTATGTGCAGGTGAGTAATATCCTGAACCTACGTACACTCAAAAACGTGTCTTGCTGGTCCAGGTGGAATTCTAAATGTCACAGTTGAAACTTGTCACTGTTCTTTTACATCTGCTAGAACGTTATCTGTGTTATGTAGAATTTACAGCAACAGCAATATCTGCTGGCGAATTTAGGTGAATGCGAGGATTATTCGTTTATTTCTCTTTTTTTTTATCACAGTCATCAATTTTTATAAGAAGTGTGACTGGTTTTGATTTGGATAAACGGCACAAAAAGAAAGCTTTTTAGCTTGTGCTTTTGGCACAAATGTAGAAATACAAAAAGTATTTAGGTCATATTTTTTTATTTTGGGCCATTTTGACTTTCACGAGCAGTTTATAGCTTTTTAATGTTTTTAATGCTTTTTAATGTCATTCCTATCATCATACAACAAAAATCATAAGAAGTAAAATTTAATACAAGATATAGATGTTTCTGGTTTGCTGATTATGAATACGAAGTCAAATGTGTAAAATTATTTGTATAAATAATAAAATGTTTAAACAAAACGTGTAAAAAGTTGAAAAAAATTATTTATACAAATAATTTCTCGATCTGGTCGATATTCGAACCATTTTTTATTAATTTAGCACAGATTTAAAATATTTCGGTTGGAATCTCGGCTAAAGAAATTTCGAATAATTCGTGTCTCAGTTATGCCGATTTTTTAAAAATTATTTAATTTATCTTGTATTCAATTTTATCTTGTATTCAATTTTATCTTGTATTCATATTTATCTTGTATTCAATTTTATTTCTTATGTATTTTTATTGTACTTGATGATAGGAATGAGAACATTAAAAAGCTATAAATTGCCCGTGAAACTCAAAGTGGGCCAAAATGAAAAAAATATGACCTAAATATTTTTTGTACTTCTATAAAAAATATTCTTCTTTGTGCCAAATTAGAAAGAAATCGGAGTGTACTTTTTAAGTAGTTACTTTTTACTTGTTAGCAAATTTCTCGCGTCTACATAATTTTCACTGTGACTGCAAGACTAGTTTTTTGAGTGATTCAGTTTTTCAGTCGGTTTTGATAAGCCGATTCTTCGGGAAATTTGTAGCATCGCGCATTAATTACGTTTACAGGAAATAATCAGACAGAAACAAAATCGGAATAAGAAAATTATTTCTTTGCGTGCATGCATCATGTAGGAGGATTAATCCGATGTCTAATTTCTTTCCTTTTGCATCTCAACCTGATCAATTTGCCTTGTATGTTTCAAAGCATAGTCGAAAACAAGAAAGTTATAAACTTTTTCTTCTTGATGAATTCCGAAGTGCATTTTATATTTTGTAGGAAAGAATCAACTTTGGGAAAAATACAGGAAATTTATCTTGTGCAAAAATACAATATGGAAGCGAAATGTTGTAATAGAACAGATTAATTATCCTGCCTTTTCCGATTTGATTTCGTGATTCGACATCATACGCAAACATTCTGTTCAGGTGTTTACTTTGCATCCGTGTTACCAACAATCGCATACCATAAACTTTGAATCTCGCGATCGGTAAGAATGCTCGATGAAGAAAACGACGGTAGAGTGCGCTAAGAAGACTAATATAACGAAAGAGAAAGAGAGAAAGAGACAGAGATACGGATCAGCACGCTCTGACCATCTGAAACAACGGCAAACGTTGCCACAGCTCATTAAACTGTCATACGACATCGAATGTCTTATGTATCGCGGTGGTTACTTATTCTAATTATCTAAAGAAATTTGTGACGAAATCACCCGTCTTTCAGAAGGAAATCTGTTATTTAAATATTCGACACGCATTAAGTATTCGACACGAATATTCTCTAGGAAAATTTAGGATCAAATCTGTCGTCTCAATATGTAAAGCTGACGTAAGAAGCCATATAGAGAACAAAATCCGCAGGAATAAACAAGCTCAATAATTGAGTCGTGTTACTTTTAATGAAACTGTAAGTAAAATATTTTATTGTTCTAGACACGAAGAATTCGGGCAGTGATTATAATTTCGATTTACGGTTTTCTCGTTAAATTTTCGTAATGTTACATATTTTTAGAAGTCTCTAGTGTAAATTACATGTAAATCACATTTCTTTTGTTCGTCTTTTACGAAATGTCATCAGACATTTCATAGGTGACGAAAATTATATGGATAATAGACATTTGTATACGTTTGACATTTCATGAAGTAATTTCGAAGTAAACACAACATGACACATGTAATGCAGACGTATATAACGTCTGTTTATTCCGTACGTTTGAATCGGTAACGATCAAAATGAAATGTTATTAATGTCTATCATGGCAGCATGATATGTATATTTGTTACGCGTCAGTTTCCTGTCAACTTCTGGACCTTGCTTGATATCTTTAGAAGAAAATGCAATTAACTTCATGTTACTTTGTGCACGTAAAGTTTCATTATAGAGAAATTCTAGAAATATGTACACGCTGTTGTTTTCTTTGCAAAAGAAATATTAAATGCAAAAAAAAAATATCAAAAGGATTCTAGAAATATGTACACACTGTTGTTTTTTTTACAAAAGAAATATTAAATAGTACATCATTAATATAATATGGCATATAATTAAATGATATAATTTATGACAAAATGTCATTATGTAAACGATATATTGTAGGACACACACCGGGTAATGGAACCTATAACAGAGGAAATATCTTCGTTAAATGTTGATAACAGAATTTATTATACTTACTGCAACACGAAGGTGGTATCGAAAATGTACACATTTGTGTGGTGTATTACCGAATTTTTTAATATATATAAATTAGTTTCTCATGTAAAGTTGAATACAGAGGAGGAACGACTACCTTTTAATATTTGCCTGCAAGTTGATAATAAGAAGGAAAAAGTGACTTTTTACGTTAAGAGTACTCCGGCAATTAAAACTATGTTATGCCAAGCTCAGTTGCAGTCAGGTTTGTCAACAGATAAATATTACGTTTTACCCTGTGTGCGTGACGGTGAAATTTACAGTTTTGAAATAGATTATATATTTATGACGACGGCAGGACTGGAATTTACATTATATGGCAACGTCAGAGTAATCTTTAAATTACATTGCATTGAAACCATCTTACATAACACTATAGATACCGTAGCATTAAACTTTAATGATAGAATTGAAATAAAAGACTTACGTCCTGGCATTTCCACAATAATTACGTTGAAAATTCAGAATACAGAATTTGAAGTAAGTAAGGAATTACTTTGTGCAAAGAGTGAATATTTCAAAACTTGGTTTGATGTTAACGAAACTACAGTAGTAGATATAGACGATGTATCACTAGAAATTGCACCAATGCTTAAAAATTTTATAAATAACGAAGATTTATCGATGTTTCTACAAGATGTTGACATCTGCCACTTACTTGCGCTCTTTAAAGCAGCTATAATATACAGCATGAGAGATCTTCAAATACTTTGCATACGATGTATAAAAGAGAATATTTTTATTAGAGAGGATATTTTAGAGGGAAATATATTACTAGATGTTCTACTTTTTGCAGATTTTTATGATATCAAAGATTTATTGAAATTTACTATTGATTTTATTGCGTTAAATAGCAATTACATAAATAATTCATTTCATCTAAATATCGAACAAAATTACCCTACATTATTTGCTCTACTTAAAGGAGCTAAAATAAATACATGCGAAGCGCACAGTGTTTTTTAATAATCGCAAAATCTGGAATTTGTAAATTAAAGAACTCGTAGAAAATGTAACTAAATATCGACTGACATATAATATATTTTTAAATTTTTATTTTAATATATTTTGTTTGCAATATTCAGGAATTGTTTATATATATTGTTTACGATTTATTAGATATTTTTTTTTTAATAATCCACATATGGAATGAACTATATCAATTCATAAAATGTATTTTTCTTCAACAGATATAATAATATCTCAGACAGAGGAGCGAGATATTTTTTTATTTATGCTTGAAGAATAATAGGATCAACAAAATATTGATTTCGTAGTGTAAATTGTTGTATGTTTTATTATTATTGATTAACAAAGCTCTATGACGGTATATTATAAATTATAAATAAATATATTATATATTATAAATAATAAATTTTATTCTAGATATCTTTTCCTTCTTATGTAAAATCCTCAAAAAGAGGAATTAGCTTTTTTCGTAAAATTTTTATAATATATCTTACAAAACATACTTAAAATTTTACTTCTGATATCTCTCTTCCCTATTATCTACAGATTTTTAAATTTTCCAAAGACTATACATCCAATCAAATATAACCAGAAATTCTTAAAAAAAAATGATAAGAGAGGTATAGGATTCATAAATATGCCGAAAGTAATAGTGCCAAGAGTGCCCGAAGTGCCAAGAGTCACAACGTTCAGATTTTTTAAAAAACTCCGCTCGCCCCCTGGGCGCGCGTCATGTGTTCTTCATTGCTTTTCGTTGTGTGCGACGAATCACTTCGTGTTCAGAAGCTGTCTTTTATAATTTAGAATTTTCCTTCATATACAATCATGCCAAAACGTCATAGACGCAGAGGTAAGCATGATTCTACGGAGCGACTGAAGAAAAAGATGGAAAATGGAACACAGATGTTTACACACAACTTATCAGAAAACTCGAGAGTTACCTGCGCTCTAAATAATTACATGTTATAATCTTGAGAACGAGGCTTGAAATATAATTGAAGATCAAACGAACTTACCTGTAAGTGAAGTTTGATCGAAATTATATGAGGAGCCTCGTTCGAGGAGATTACAACCCTCCCAGTAATTTTATCATTTATTACAGCCGTTTTCACTTGCTAGTTTCGTTTTTTCTCTATCCCTATGTAGACAGGTCCTCTCTTTTTTCTGGTACATCGCTTACTTTGAACGAAAATGAAGAACACATGACGCGCGCCCAGGGGGCGAGCGGAGTTTTTTAAAAAATCTGAACGTTGTGACTCTTGGCACCTCGGAGAGGTACTACATGTTGTAATCTCCTCGAACGAGGCTTTTCATATAATTTCGATCAAACTTCACCTACAGATAAGTTCGTTTGATCTTCAATAATGGACTATCTTTAGCGTCATAAGTAGATTTATTTTGTTTAATATTTATTACTATTTGGATGAAAGTAATAATCTTCATAAATAATTCAGAATTGCATTTGGAAGTGTAATTCACAAAAAACTAAGCGTTTATTTTGTCAATAATCACTGTTGATCTAAATTGTCGCAGAGAAACTGTTAGACTGACGAAAAGCAAAATAACACACAAAGATATAACGATACTTAATTGTCTTTAAAGAGATATATCTATTATTGTCTTTATTATTGTAGCTCAAGTGACAAATGCAAAGCAAAAAAGATTGACGTGTGTGTATAATTCGGCTACTTACTAGAGGCAGGAGTATTGTCTTATCGAACACGAAATTGTTTCAACGAAGCTTTGTTTACTGTTTAACAAAGAGATTTCAAACAAAAATCTAAGAGCGAGTGATTGTGAGAGAAAAGAATATTTATGTCGGAACAATTGCAAGTATAATGTAACAGGTAATAAATAAAGACTCGAATATTACGGTAGTAATTTTACGAGATGGAAAATCCTGATATATAATCAAATATTAATTGACATCTACATTTGTACATTAATATTTCTCTTACACATAATATAGTACAAAGGAAAGAAGTTCCAGTAGAAAGAAAGAAATGTGTATCAGAATATGTACATAGTAGTAAAGTTTGTATTTATTATTTTATACAACTGCGAGGTACAGAATTTACATAGCCAGATTTAAAATTTGCAAGACGACACAAGTTCTTTTAGAAAAAATGCCATTGATCCGATGATAAAAAGGGATCCCAAGTTTCATGATAATATTAGTATGGAGGGATAGGAATGTGGATGCCCAACATCTCCTGTAACAATCTTATGAGGCGTAGAAATTCGACGCATGGCTCATTAGTTATGAGTTCCTTGAACTCAGGCGAGGTGACGGTCGTTTTAAAGACGTCGTTGACGATCTGTTGGAACTTGTCAGATTTGAATTGGTCTATTAACTTTTCCCAAAATTGATTATTTTTCAGTTTTTTCTCGTAGTGGGCCTTCAATTTATCGACAGAGTCTATGGCTTCGGCTTCGTCGAGTAATTTACGGATGTTCTTGCGATCTTTGGCGTAAAACCAGGCTTTCGTGGGCGGCTCAATGTGAGGCAGGTGGAGATAATCGTTTAGTTGGTTCACATATCTGTAGACGTCAATGCCCATCTCATATCCCTCGAATAGTGTTGCGCGAATCTTCTCTGTGTCTTCGACGTTCTTCACGAGAGTTCTGAATTCATCGCTTTGCAAGTATGCGATTATGCGTTGGAAGTATGCGATCAAGTTCTTGTCCTCGGGTGTGTATTTATCAACGAGTGTTAGGAGTAACTCGAAGGTCGCCTTAGCCACGAGGGCCAACAATGCCACTACGATTTTCATCTGTGAAAATAAACATTTCGCTTAGTTCATTGGGATACAATTAATGACGTAATGTTTTATGATGCCGTTATTTACGCGACCTATAGAGGTCTTGTGATTAACAGGCTGCTCACGAAATAGTACATCACGAAATAGTTCATGTTTTCATTGATCGAGCTGGATTTTCGCGACTACTACGTTCTTAAAAGCGAATATTTAGTAGTACACTCGTAATGCAAGCATCGGCAGATGTTGATTCATCAATTTCGCGTGATTTTTCAAGAAACGTTAAGTATTACTTGATTTTTATTAAATACCGTTGATTGAAATATATCGCAACGTGTTGATCAATTTGAAACACAAACAGGTTGTTGTTTTAATTGATCGAATAATCGCTGAAGCGAGCATCGAAAATCTGCCGTTTAATAAGTGTATTTTAATAAGTGTATTTTCTTTTTTAACACACTACAGAATACTTCAGTTCCAAATAGATTAAACGATGCTGTAAAACAGTGAAATAATTATTGACTTCAAAATAACAATTAATATTTGGATGACATAAAGCGATAATGACATAAAGCAATAATTTTTCTGATAAAATATTTCTGTGCAAATGTTTAATTACTTTTTACAACTTTTATCCCTTAAACGTCTAATTCAGTTCATAGTTGCTACAAAAGAGAATAGTTTTTGACAATATAAAACAAGAGAATTTCATTTCTCGCTAAAATAGGTGAGAGATGAATTCTTCATATAATATTGCTCATTTGCTGTTACTTATTATATATAATCTCTAAAATTTTAGCAACTCTCTCTTTAGGGCCTGTTCATCAGAGCCTGTCGTATTAATCACCTTTAAAGTGGTGGTTGCTTGGTCGTCGTATTACTCCAGAGAAGGTACTGATACTTCGAAGCTCCTTTCTTTAGCTTATATATACTCAAAGTTAACCGTTGTCATTTGTGGTGATAAGATTATGTAGATAATACACGTGCGCGATTGGCTGTTAAAATGCGTGCGCAATTGTCTGTTAAAACATTCGGTAGTTTCGATATCGCTCTACTCTTATTGATTTGCGCAGTATTTCATCGAAAATGTCACGAATTAAAATGATAAAAAAAGATATTCGTAGAATGAGTAACAACTCACGATATCAAATTGATACAATTGTATCAAATTGATACAATTGTTCCAACAACTATCGATCAGCGATAATCTAAAACTATTTTCAGCGATGCAGTAATGCTTGCAATGCACTAAAAGTGCCGAAAATTTGCTTCTTTAGATCATGGCACTAAAGAATATAATATTAGGACGTGATACTTGTAATTCATAACATGCATAATGTACATGATCGTAGAAAAAATGTATCTATTCCAATCTAAATATTCCCGCAGTATTTCTGCGACTATATGTATTTATATAGGGTGTCCCAGATTCGTTGTGCAGTATTTATGGGAACATAGAACGGATTGAGGTGGACATAAAAGTCTCATACCGTTTTGCGATATTCACAATAAATCTCGAAATATTAATTAAAGAAAAATGATATCATGAATTAAAAGAAATTATCACGCGCGATATGATATATGAGCTATAGTAGTGATATGTGCTGTCGTGTATTTGTACATTAGGTCAAACTGAACAGAAAAGTTTTGTACCATTTTACAAATGACTATATAGATTTTTAGTTATTAATTAAAGAAGATTTGTGCATTACCGTGTACGGTCACATAACAATTTTCTTTCATTAATAACTAAAGATGCGTGATTATTAGCAAACTGATCAAAGATTTTTTTATTCAATTTGACCTTATCCTAGAAGCATACAACATCATAATGTACAAGCGCAAGTGATAGCACATATAGCTACTAGTTTATCTATCATATCGCGCATGATCGCGATATGATCACTAATTTTCTTTAATTAATATCTCGAGATTTATTGTGAATATTGCAAAACGGTATGGACTTTTATGTCCATCTCAATCTGTTCTACGTTCTCACAAAAATTGCGGGCGACATCCTATATATATACAGGGTGTCTCACATTCTTCTCCGCCTCGCCTATTGGCGAGTTTCCAAGCTTACGGCATATAGCTGCCTTTACGATGGAATTCGAATGGATGTTCAAAACTTAAATCATTAATAATCGACTCTTTAACTCTTCGATAAAATCAGCTTAAAGAAGCAACTGTAATCTAGATTGATATCTTCAGCAATATGCATATAAGTAGTAACAAAAGTGATTCTGCTTACTACAATTCTTCCACTATCTAATTACAGTTGCTTCTTTAAGCTGATTTTGTCGAAGAGTTAAAGAGTCGATTATTAATGATTTAAGTTTTGAACATCCAATCGAATTCCATCGTAAAGGCAGCTGTATGCCGTAAAATTGGAAACTCGCCATTAGGAAAAGCACTCTTCGAAGATACTGATAAAAGTATGGTACGCGAATAAATCTACGACAGTGAGAAGAATCGACACGTTCTAACAATCTGAATCAATGTTGACATAACAACTTAAGCGACAGAACAGAGAGATGCGATTTAATCATATTGATCCGGTGAAAATTATTATAAAACGAAACTTAATACAATTTATATTGCATTTGTAAGCACTTTTATTCTACTGTCACATTCTCCACAAAACACAAATTTGTTTCCTTCTTAGCATCAAATTTATCGTTTGAGCAGGTAGAAGTGAAGTCGAAAACCGGATACACAGCGAAACAGACATTAATATTGAGACGTGTAATAAATCGTGGCACTTAAGTAAGTACAACGTTTCATTGTTCAAATTACGAGAAGTTTATACAGTGATCGAATTTGACATAATATAAAAACCTCACGTTAGCTGAATTTTCTTTTATAAGAGAACATTATATGTCTGCAAAAATTTCTTTTATAAATTGCATGTAAAAAAATGCAGTAAATTTATTTATATATATATATATATATATATATATATATATATATATATATATATATATACACGACGATATTAATATATATTTCGTAGTTGAGACGAAACTAGACAAACAGATATTAGTATGTATTGTCGTCTCACGAGGTAATTTCTAAATAATTATAACGTAACACATTGAATATAAACATATACAACATCTATTTGTTTTGAATGTACGAATCTGTAACAATAAAATTAAAACGTTATTAACAATTATCATTATTGTGTACAACGCAAAAGATGTAAAAAAATACGAGGAAGAAAAAAGTAAAATTTATATTGATCAGCAATTACTTAAATTTAATGTTTGTCATAGTTTGATGTTATTATAAAGTCCAACATAAATTCCATTAAATATTAAAGACATCGGTAAAATAATATTTTTATACTTGGTAATTAAAAAATCATAATCTTTTATAAAATTAGAACTTTAAGTGTATTTTTCACACGTAAATTTCGCGTCTGCCTCTGAATGTTGCTTAATATATCTTTGGAAAAAGATACAATTAGCTTTACTTTATTTTGCTTACGTAGTTCTATTCTAGAGACTTTTAGAAATATACACGTGCATATTGCTTTTTTTGTAAAGGATATTTTAGCAACATATTATTACTTAAATGATATCACATAAAATGATATGTTAATATGTATAAATTATATTTTATATAGGACACATTGAATGATGACGGAATTAGAATCAGAAAAGGTGTCTTCAGATAATAAGAAGGACAAATATTCTGTTGTTTCTTATTGCCGCTCGGACTTAGTGAGGAAAACTTTTGTACATATATGCAATCTTGATGAATTTTGGACTATTTACAAAACGACTAATATCTTAACATTGAATAAAGCTAACGAGAGAGTACCTTTTGATATTGTGATGAACATTAATAAAATAGACGATAAAGTGCATTTCTGTATTAAAAACCGTTCTCTTGAGCTTGAAAAGGCTTTATGTAATGTTTCTTTGCAGTCAAGTGTCTCAAAAAATAAGTTTAAAGTGTTACCCATGCTTTCTGACGGAAAGACTTTTGAAGTACAAAAATCTTTTCTGTTGACAACAGGACAAGAATATGTTTTCTTTGGCATACTCAAAGTAATTTTTAAATTTTATTGTGCTGAATGTATCTTATACAACACTATACATACTACCATATCACATTATGATGATAAAAAATATATGGACTTTGCTACTGACAACACTTCCACAATTATATTGAAGACAAACAAAAACGAATATTTAATAAATAATGATTTGCTTTGTGCAAAGAGCAAAAAATTCGAAAGTTTGTTTGAAGATAAAGACCAAAAGCATACCATAATATCTTTACCTTCCATGTCAGAAGATGTCATATTGATGTTTATAAATTTTTTACAATGTAACAGCACGTTTATTTCAGAAAATGTTGAGCTCAAAAAGCTATTTGCGCTTTTTACATTAGCTGATAGATTTGAAGTAACAGATCTTAAAACAATTTGCGAGCAATATATAAAAGAGTATATTCTTCTAAGAGCGGATACTTTAGGAGAATACAATGCACTCGATATTTTACGGTTTGCATATGATAATTCTTTACAAGATTTAATAAAACTTGCCACTGATTTCATCGCGTTAAATATCAATCATTACTTACACTGCAAACATTTTTTAGATCTTACAAAAGAACATCCCGAATTATATACTCACCTCAAAGAAGTTGAACTAAATGTGCGCAAAGCATACTTTGAAATTTAATAACCGTAAAAGCCGGAGTCAGTAAATTATAACATCCGTAGAAAATTTAATTTAACATTACCGAGCAATAAATAAACTTTCATATCTTAATCTTGAAATGTATCATACGAGATTTTGTTGTTTATAATTCATGAATGTGTGTTGTTTATAATTCATCGCATACCTTTTGCAACGTATACTTGTCACTCACAGAGAACAAACATTATCAGTTTATAATATGTTCAAATGTAATAATATCCCTCATTACTTCGGTGTTTTTTCCCTCTTTTGTTAGAAAAACATAAACGAATTATATTGTTAATTAATGTATTCTTTATTATTGTATTTTAATAGGAGACTATATGTTTCTCTGTTTTATAAGTGTTAATAAATTTTATTTTAAAAATTACTAGTCTAGTGAAATTTTAAATTAAAATTTTAATATTTCTATATGAGCTTCGTAACGTGTATTAAAATATTTTAAAAGATATATATATTTTTTTTTATCAAAGAAATCTTGTAATTTATAATGTTTTATCTTGAAATCTCTATACACACATAGTAAAATTATATTTCTTGATTAATAGTAATAGGTATAATTGAAACTTTCATGATTAGTTTGTGAATATATGTAAAATATACGTATATACATAAGATAAAATTACTAAGCAGATGAAATTACAAGCTCAGATTACAGTTACTCTTTTAAGCTGATCATATCAAAGTGTCGATTTCCTTCGATATCTAACCCAATATCTAATCCGATATCTAATCGGATTCTATTGCAAAAACAATTTGTTGTGAACTTGGAAACTCGTTATAAATAAGAGTATCTAGTGAAGAAAACGATAATAACAAACCGCATGAAGAAACTTGCGATAGTAGGAAAGATCGAAGCATATTGTAACAACTTGAAGTAACGTTGGCGCAAGTAGTTCTAAACGGAAAAACGAATAATCGCGTTAGTGTTGCATCGGTACGGCGATAATTACGATAAAACACGAAAAAGTTTGACAAGAAGCCGACTATCTAGGAATCCGTAAGCATTTTTATACTCTTCTGGGCGCATTTTCCATTAAACTCGGGTTTATCTTTTAGGGCATAGTCTATAAATGAAAGCAGCATCGAAAAACAGATGTACAATGAACATTAAAATTAAATTCGATAATTAAGCTACGGCATTTAAACGCAAGTACAACGTGTCTCTATTCTAGACGCGAGATTCTTACTTCCACCAAGATTATACGCAATTCTGTTGGCTACTGAATTCTTATGAAAACCAATATTATGTATTTCTAAGATTCTCTGACAAAATTTTCATGTAAACAGAGTTTCTTGCGTTTCTGCAACAAAAATATTAAGAGGAATTTCGAATTTAGTAAAAATAAACGAGTAATAATAATATTCGTGTACGTTTGTCACTTTTACGAAACAATCTGTAAGTAAACACAATATGAGGTAAAGTAGATAAACATGACATCTATTTATCCCGCATATTCGAATCAATAACAATCGAAATAAAGCGTTATTAGTCGTTCTCATTACCGTATAGTATAGAAAATATGTTAACAACATATTTTCACAACATAACGGAAAAAGAAAGAGAAATTATCATTAGTAATTATTACGTTTATTATTTATTTTATTCGATATTAAATGTATATATACATACATATATACATACATCATACATATATATATATATATATATATATATATATATATATATATATATACTTTTATAAAAAGCGGTTTTTCATAAAATAATTTTAAAAATATGTAAATATTTATGTGGAATGTATTATATATATAGGTAAAACGAAGAAACACATGTACTATGCACATATCGGCGGTTGATTCCAATATGGATGAAATGGAACAAGTAACTTCACATGTCACCGCTCATTGTAGAACAGATCCAATAATAGAGTCCTTCAACTATACATGGACTATCTCTAACTTTTGGTCATTATTCCGAAATGTTTTTACTTTAACGTCCGACAAGATTGAGGAGCTGCCATTTACTATTGAATTGAAAACCGACGAAGACAAGAAAAAAATATATTTTCATCTAAGTACCGACGCTTCTCTTTTTTCATGTGCTTTGTACTTAGAAGATGTCCCGAATGGAAGAAAGTACAGGATAAGCACTAGACATCACACGAATCAATTATGTTATGCACTTGATATTATGTTTTTTGAGAAACATATATCAGTTTTATGGAATAATGCACTTAGAGTTATCTGTCAATTCTTTCTGATAAAAACTGTCATGCACAAATCTATATGTAATGTTATAACGGAACCAGAAGATATGCTACCGATAAATATTAAGTGCTCGGTTGACAATGAATCTGATTCGAAAGTTACACTTACAGCGTTTGAAGAGCGTTTCTCCATACATAAAGACTTGCTTTCATCAAGAAGCACTGTCTTCAAAGCTATGTTCGATAACAATCCGACAGTGGATGTGTTTCAGTTAGTAGCGATTGATAACGTAACGCGGCCAACCCTTTATTTATTTATATCCTTTTTACAAACTGGTCATATAATAGCGAATGCCGAAAATATGACTAAATTCACGTTATATCAGCTCTTTGGATTAGCCAATGATTACGATATACAGGACCTCAAGACGTTATGTAGGCATTATATAATAAAGGATCTCACTCACGAAACCGCTGTAGAAAGTCTGACTCTCGCGCATTTATATAATGATGAAAATTTAAGGAAATTCGTTATAAATTATATAAAGTTACACATGAAGGATATGAGAAATAACTTTCAATTTGTGCTAACGTTGCAAGAATATCCCGAACTATTAGCAAAGTTCATGATGAGTGATGATTTACCTACAAAATGTTGCGAATTTTCCACGTCCTATACTGCAGATTAGATATTAAATTTGTCACTTGTTTTTCCTACGCTTATTCTCCTTTTTTTTATATTATTCTGACATCTTTGTCACATGCACTATAAGAACGCAAAACTGTTGTGATATATCATGTCATATGTAAGCAAAATTGACATCTTGCAAATTTATACATTTTGAATTCGATGTTTCTCGTTAGCGATATTTATAAGTGTAAATTTACGTATTATTTGTAAAATTGCGAAATTTTATAGGCATCAAATATTTTTCCTGAAATATATTTACGAAATGCAGAATAAATCTTCTTTCTTTTAAAAGTATATACAGAATGATAAATAAATAAATATTTCACGTGTAGCCGTTTTTAAATGCAATATAATATTATATAGTTATATACGTGATGTAATTATATACATATTAACACATATATACATGTAATTATACACACATATATATATATATATATATATATATAAAATTATTACATATTATATACATATAATTATACATACATATGTACAATATATACATAATTACATACATTATATAATTATATAATTCATATATAATTACTCTAAAATACACTTTTACATTTAAATATTTGTTGGTTTATTTATTTTGAAAAATCGCTTACAATAACATGTTAGATTTTATAAAAATGCGGAGACATACGAAAAATAGAGAAGCATGCACGCGATGCACAAGGGGAAGAAATTAGATCTATATGTTAAACGTAACTTTACATAAGAGCCATAATTAATCAATTTCTCAATTGTAATGCGCAGACTGCCGGCATCTCGGTTCTGGACCGCGAAATCGCACGGCTACGATAAGAAGCAGAAGTGGATACGGACAAGTGTGCGGAAGGATACGCGGCCCATACCCGGCCCGCCATCCTGGCGGCATGGTCCTTTGGGCCACGATACTAATCCTCCAAGGAGCTGGATTCGTAGGTGAGCTTAATAATCAAGCTTAATCAAATTCAGCTGTGGCGTGTGAACGTTAAGAGCTTATTCAAAGGGATGACAGTTGAGTGAAATTTTAACTAAGAAAGAGAAATTGGAAACTGATCAACAAATCCCGCCGAAAATGAATGACGATATTCTCTTTCTTTTTTTCTGCCTCCGGAGGCACAATGCGCGGAAGCTACGGATAATAACGAAGATACCCGTCGCTGACTGTTCGCAGGCTCGGTGACAGGCATTCCCGGCGTCCCGGAAAACATAACGGTGATGTTCCTGAACCCGACGTCCGTGCGCGTGTCCTGGAGCACCAGTCAGGTCGAGCAGGTCGAGAAATACGACGTCACGTACAAACCAACCGACGCCAGGTGCGTTCCGATAATATAAAGATACTCATTGCAGAGCAGTGAGAGAGAAAAAAAGAGAGATTTAACGAATAAAAAAGGGATAGAAAATGACACAAATTATCCCCGCTCTGTCGATCTACATATCTCACTCTTCTCGGCCCATGTTCGTCACACGAACGACACGGTTGAGAGATGCTGACACACTTAGCCACTCGCGAATTGCGACAAAGTGCCGCAATGCAGATATTTAGGCTTATCGAATCCGGCATGTATATACATGTAAAAAGTAACCGGCTGTAATAGGGGGAGCGTTGCGGCCCGCGCTAAATATGCCGAGAAAGGGTCGAAAGGACATTAACAAGCGGGTCGAGTCCACGCGTGACACGCGTGTGCGCCTCGTCCAGTGTGCATGTCGCGCAACAGCGAGTGCATTATACAGCACACAGTAGTTTCCTTTAATCATCGACCATGTCTGAATGTTGCTCGAATGCAAATGCGAGCTCTGCCGCGCGGAAGCGAAAATGTTGAAGTGACATTTCCATTAAATTCGCTGATCGGTGAATTTCCCAATTCAATTGTAACCACGTAAAGTGTCGATGCGTCGCGTATTCGTCGTACTGTGAACGTCAGAGAGAGAGAGAGACAGAGAGAGAGAGAGAGTGTGTGTGTGTGTATTTTTTTTCTTTTTGATCATTTATCCTCACTCGTTCTCGCACGTTACAACTTTTTTAAATATTATTCGTCAAAATTTGCATGTTGCGCAACTTTTACCGCGAGATTTAACTGCTTCATCCTTTCGCTATCAATTTTGTTTTTAAGTTTTTTATAATTTTTTTTATTTTTATTTCATTAAATACATTGATATAACGTAGTTTTAGCAAAAGAAAATTAAAAGTTTTATGTTTGACGCCAAAAAATAAAACTGGGACATTAGTGTCCCACTGGGATTTTTGGGAGGCTATATTTTTTCCAACGCGACAATAACTACAGTGATCGCTGATGTTCTGAATGCCAAAAAAAACTATTTATTCAACTGAATAAAGTTATTATTAATAGGTAGGGAGAAAACATATACAGGATGTCTCAGAATTCCATGATGACCCTTTGTGAGGACGTAGAACGGATTGAGGTGAGCAAGAAAGTCCTGTGCCGTTTTGCGATATTCGCAATAATAGTCGAGATATTAATTAAAAAAGATTGATGAATGATGGCGCCCTCTGCCGTTGTATATTAAGTCAAACTGAACAAAAAAGTCCTCTACCATTTTGCAAATGACCACATAGATTTTTAAATATTAAAGAAAATTGTTACATATATGATTGTATACTATAATGCACAAATTTTCTCTAATTAATCTTTAATTTTCTCTAATTAATATCTAAAAATCTATGTGGTCATTTACAAAATGGCAGATGACTTTTCTGTTCAGTTTGACTTAATGTATAAGTATACAACGGCAGACGGCGCCACTGCAACTCATCTACCATATTGCGCGTAATCATTCACCAATCTTGTTTAATTAATATCTCAACTATTATTGCAAATATCGCAAAACGATATAGGACTTTCTCACCTCAATCCGTTCTCACAAAGAGTCATCATGGAGGTCTGAGACACCCTGTATATGTATCCCGGGACATATATGTCTCGTTGATAGCGAGACGGTTAACTTGTAACGGCCATTTCAGGAATTGGGATTGAAGAGACACGAATGTGCCTCGGTATTTTCATTTAGGAGAGCTCGACTTCTCGAGTTGTTTCACAATCTCGTGTACATAGGCAAACGCGTCCGATGGTACCGCGTGTTCGCCGGAACATGCGAGGCACGATAAGGTCGGACGACCTGTTACAGCGTCCGTTTAAATGCTTAAGCGGCGCGATTACGTGCAATTTGTCGTAAAAATGCATAGCATCGATTCCTACTTCGATAGGGGCGCTCGTCCGCGCCGCGGTCTCGTTATGTAAAATCTAGCGTGCACTTACTTATGCCGGCAAGATATTATAACTTTACGTAACGACAAAAATACCCGGAGCACCGGTGCATATTAAATGGATTAATTGGAAAATTTCGCTGGCTGAAAGGGTAGACTCGTCGGGAGCTATTTCGTTCTAAGCTCAGAACTTTGTTTCGTTTCTTCGTTTGCAACATGACGACCTTTCGTTAACGAACAATTCTAATAATAACAATAATACAACAATAATAATAATCCTGTTTTGCGCTACAGAACGGGACATTATAGGATATCAGTATTTTGTAGATTATTCTATCTTTTTTCTCTTTATCTTTCCTTCTATCTCTTTTGTTTCCATATTTTCGTTTTTTTCTATTTTGTCTTGTTTTATTTTATCATAATTATTTTTTTATTTTTTTAGTAACTTCTCATCACACGTTATTAACACAATTATAATTCTAATTCAGTATTTCATCTTTGAATGCGTACTAATACTTTTATTTGCTTATTATTTTAAATTATTCTGTTTTCTTCTTTCTTTGACTTTATATTATTACATTAACATATCTGCTATAACATTTTCTATATTTTATATATTTATATACAGGGTGAGTCATCTGAATCTATCACCTCCAATAACTCGTTTGTGTGGCCAGGAATCGAAAAAAGTTTCATATAAAAGTTGTAGGGTTTCGAGGGGGAACCAAAATGGCGTACCTTTCAACTTTTGATTTTGACCGAAAGTGGGTTACTT